CATTCTAAGCTTTAAACATGTCATAAACCTTAACAATAACTTTCATTGATTAAAATACACTATCAAGAAAAAATGATTAAAAAGCATACAAGTGAAATCTAGATTGTTTTTTTTTACAATTCAGTCCAAATGAAACTCAATTGTTATTTTTCAAGTTCAGTCCAACTTTTTTTTTGTGTGACAATAATGTACAATTTTATGAATAAAAAAAGATGTACAATCTCGTGAGATGAGAAACTACCATATTGCTTTTTAAAAGATGTGTGAAACTTAACTTAATAAAAGCATATGTAAAAGATTAACTCAATTTGATAATCTTATTCAACTTATCTTAATTTTAACTAGTAAAATATTGATCCAATTAAAATTTAAAAAGATAGATTACAATCAAATATAACTTGATTCAATGATTATATTTTTGGAATGCATTTCTTTTTATGAAATGAACTTGGTTTAGGAAGGTAAATCTGCTATCTAACATTATTTTTTTTACTATTTTAAAAGAGAGACATTCTCTTAGCAGAGAGGAGAGCAGAAAACTTTAAAATCATATGATAACGTTCTAACAAAACCTCTCTGTAAAGCTACAAAATGTTGATATTATATCAGGTGTATAAAGTGCAATGCTTAAAGATAACACATTCCGGACACAATTCATTTGAGAACAAATAAAAATACATCTTTGCATCACTACTCAACTTTTTCTTTTCCTTCTTCTTTCCATTGATCTTTCTTTTGTTTGAAGGGAGACTAAAACAATCTTAATTTCTATGTAATTATTATGACCTTTCATTTTATTACTTGTGATGCCTAAAAACAATTATGACAACAATTACATGTTAAAGACAGCGGATTTGACTTTGCATAAAGAAATTGGACTTTGGCAACATGATAATCTAGTTAAGAATCGGTCAAGAAATGAACATAAGAACAAACATAACAATTATTCCTACACAACATAACAATTTTTCCTACACACCATAAAAATTTAGTATTTTATCTTATTTTGTTTGATGTTTAACATTTTGATACTTACAACACATTTTATTTTGGTAATGAGACTTAAACACATTAATATGTCTCATTTCATTTTTTTTATATATAATTTTTCAATATATATATTTCTAAACTTTTTGGATTTTCACTAATAAAAATCAGTATTAAAAAAAAATATATTAATTTAAGAATGCATTTATAATGGTTAAAGATAAATAAAAAAATTTAATGTTACATTGGTATTGTAAAATGAAACTCACAAAAATTGTCAAAAACCCCAATAAAATGAAACTGAGGGTGGATTGTTTACTTTGCTATTTTATCCATAAGATTTATGAATGGATTTGTGTAGAAAGACTTTGAGTTTTTTTTAATAGTAGTAATGAAATAAAATATTATACTATCTAAAACATATTTCGATACGAGTTAAAAACGTTTTTTTTAGAGTTTCTTTATCAAAAGTACGCATTTTATTTTCTAGAAAACTTTTCAAAAATACGTATAAATTTATATTCAAATAATTCTCCTAGTACAGTTTATAGGAAATTTAACTTTGCAATTTAATAAACTCATTTATTAATTTTTGTTGTGTTACCTTTTGGTTGTCATTCTTTTCATTTGAGCATATAAATAGTTGTGATATCCATGCACCACAGATAAAATGAATACATACATTTTGAATTATTATCTATAATGTCAACCTAATACAAAGTAAGAAATGTGTGATATAACTACTATGCTTATGAAGAAAAGCATGATAATGTGCTATAAAATAAAATGTATCATGAATTTACATTTAGGATATGTTTGGTTTTAGATGGAATTTTTTTATTTAGTGAAGTTATAAGAAACCTGGTACGATCAGAAACTTGTGTCGAGGTTGCAATGACTCGAATTATAACCAACTTTCTCTATTATTAGAGAGTTGTCTTAAGGTTGCAAACAACTTGAATTATAACTGATCCTAGTATGATCAAAGATTCGTGATAAGATTGCAGATGACTTAGATTATAATTGACCCTAATACAATCAAAGAATTGTGTTGAGATTGCGAATGACTCAAATTATAACTAATCCTAATATGATTAGAGGATATGCTAAGATTGCAAACGAATGGAATTATAACCGACCTTAGTACAATTAACGAGTCGTGTTGAAGTTCCAAACGACTCAGATTATAAAAAAACCCTAATATAATCATAGAGTCTGGATGAAGTTATGAACAACTTGGATAATTATCAACCATAGAGCGATCTAAGAATTGCATTGAGGTTGCAAATTGCAAATGACTTGAATAATAATTGACACTAGAGTGATCTAAGAATTGTTGTGAATGACTCAATTTAAAAATTAAATACTTTATGATTTTATGAAATTATTTAACAAGTTCAAATTGATATTAATTAATTTTTATTGGACACTTGATTTTAGCAAATTATCATCCTCAAATTAAAGTATATCTTGATCATTGTTTTTCAATGGACAAATGATTAGAAATTTGGAAAAAAAATGTTATGACTCTTGAAGAGTTAGTCTTCTAAAATAAAGTACAAAACAAATGTTTAGTTGAAAAGTTATAATGTTGATAGAAAAAATTGACATGTAATTAACAATTAATCAAAAGATGTAAGGCCTAATAATTTAATATGATTTTAGTTACTATATATACTTCATGTTCCGAAAACCTCAAAAAAGATGATGAAAATTACTTGAATGCTCTAGTGTTTTAATTCTCATTATTTTATGAGAACAATTGGTTTGTGTATGACTAATTAACTTCATGTCTTATTAAGAAATATTTAATTTTACTTACTTATTATGAAAAGACTCGAGACTCAGAGTTGTGTATGGTCATGAAATTTTATCTGACTCACCAATTATCTTTGGAGAGAGGGATAAGAATACGATTTTTATAATAAAAGATATGTGAGTTAAATTATTTTTTAAAATTATAGCAAGATAGGTGGCTTAAAAAAAAAAGGAGCATGACAAGATAGGTAGAAAAAAAAATAAAAATAGAGAATAAAGAATAAACTGTTTTAGGATATAAATAAACAACAAATACAATTAAAATTAAAATACATTTTGTTTACTGCATTGGTTTCATTTTGACTGAATTTCTTTCTATAATTATTTTTTGGTACAGTTTCTGTGCATATTTTAGATTTCATATAAGTTATTTTGTGTTTATCTTTCATATTCATAAGATTATTTATTGTCTATATTTTTTTTAATATTTTTTACTCCACAATAAATAATTAAAAATACAACAACAAGATATATTTACATTTTATTGATTTTGTAAAATTAAAATTAAAATTTAACTTTTTTTTTTTAAATATCAAACAAAATAAAACTAAGAGAATACATGTTAGTATATATAAGAGAATAATGATATATAAAAGACTAAATTATATTTTTTTCTTTTATTTTTTGTCAATGCACAATTTTGATCCTTCTTTTTTAAAATAGAGACATTTAATTTCTCTCATTTTAAAAATACAAAATTTTGGTCGTGCATCTTATCAAATTGACACCTATTAACGTTTATTCATACTTAAATGATATAACATTTAATAACATAATATTTAAAAATAAAAGAAAATAAAAAAATATGCAAATAAAATTTATTAATAAAAATAAATACCAATAACTCATTAAAATACATACAAACAAGAATATTTTGTATGTTATTTTTTTAATTCTTATTCTTACATGTTATATGACTAAAATATCACGTTACTTAAGCAGTGGTTATTAACAAATGTCAAAATTTTAATCATCAACAAATATCAAATTAATGGTAGTATCAAAATTTTATATTTTAAAAAATATGAGGACTAAATCACTAGTGCAAAAATTGGATTTAAAATCGAAGTTTTAAGATCGGTTACAAGGTAACCGATCTTAAAAGTGACGCGGTGGCACCTTTGTAAATAATATGAACACTTTTAAGATCGGTTAAAATTTAACCGATCTTAAAAGTACTTTTAAAATCGGTTATTTTGTGACCGATCTTAAAAAGTATATCTGGCACAACTTTTAAGATCGATTCAAATATAACCGATTTTAAAAATTATTTTTAAAATCGGTCACAATTTAACTGATTTTAAATCATGTCTTTTTTACTACTTTTAAGATCGGTTATATAGAAACTGATTTTGTATATAACATACAAAATCGGTTCCTAGATAACCGATCTTAAATATCTTTTTACGTTTCTACATTTTTGGCCTCCACTCTCTGCTTCGCTCATTCAGGTTCGCAAGGGGTTCAGGCTTGCGTTGCCCTTTCCTTCATTCGTACTTAGGGTTTCTACTGTGGTTCTCCATTCACATTTCTGTTGTTCTCCGTTCGTGTTCGCAAGGGGTATTCTTCATTCGTGCTTAGGGTTTAGCAAAGAGGTGTTCTATTGTTTGTTCGTTCAGCTCTCCGTTCGGGTATGCAGAGAGGTTCAAAAATCCCGAAGGAGCTCTCCCTCTCAACATCTCAACCCTAGGGCACTCTTCTGTTGCTGACCTTCGACAACCCCGGAGGAGCACGTTAGAAACATGGTGGTGCTCCAAATCCACAAACACTCCCGAAGGAGGTTTCCTAAAACCTGGTGGTGCTCGCGCAAGATGGTTGCCGAAGGGAAGACCAAAAGATTCGTAAGTTCATTTGAAAACTATTTTGGAATTTGTCAAAGCTTGTTGTAGTATGTGGTGTATTGTGTTTAGGGTTTAAGGTTGCAATGGACCCACCATCCAAGCCTTGCTAGAGAGCTTCGTTGGTGACGCACCTTTGATTCCTGTCGTTGAAAAGCCTCTGACTTTGGATGATGCGAGAGCAGATACTGTCATCACGATTGATGGGTTTAACGAGGTGGTGGTGATGAGTACCAATTCAGAGCCTTTCTTTGTGAGAACAGGGGATTAATGTATAATAGTGGCTGAATGTATAATAGGGGATTCATGTATAATATTGGCTCCTAATTCTAATGATTTTTTTTTTTAATTCTAGCAATGATATTTTTTTTAAGTAATTTAGTAATTTTTTTTAATTACTATTCTATTGAAATTAATTTTATATTCTTTTTGTAGTCTCATAAACAAAAAGGAAATTATGAGTGCGGATACTATGTAATGAAGACAATGCAAACTATTGTTGATTCACAAATAGTATCTGGGTGGACTGAAGTAAGTTTTACAATTTTGAAAGTTTTTGTTTTAAGTTCTCATTCTATATATTTTATGAATTCTTACTAATTATTTTAATTTTTCTTAACAGATATTTATAGATCGATCACCATTGCCGCTAGAAGACATAAACATCATTAGGGAGCAATGGGCCACAGTTTTTATTGACCATTACTTTAACTAGTTTGGACTTATGTTTTATAGTAGTGCTTTAACTAGTTAGAACTTACATTTCATTGAGCAATGTAGTCCATTTATGTATTAGATGTATTTAAAACTATTCAATTATATATATATGATTAACATTTATCATCTTGTCATTTGTATGCGATTTGTGCTTCATTGAGAAAATATTTTGAACTGTCTAGTTTTTCTGCAGGTTTGTTCTGAGGTGCTCCCAAAACAAGTCAAACATACAAAAAAAAATCACTACTTTTAAGATCGGTTAAAATTAAAAGTCTTGACTTTTAAGATCGGTTATAAAATAACCGATTTTAAAAGTAGACTTTTAAGATCGGTTGTTGTTATAACCGATTTTAAAAGTCAAGACTTTTAAGATCGGTTATAATTCAACCGATCTTAAAAGTCTACTTTTAAAATCGGTTGATAACCGATCTTAAAAATCTACCTTTTCAAAATCGGCTCTTTTAAGATCGGTTCCATAACCGATTTTAAAAGTCCAAAATAACCGATTTTAAAAACCTTTTTTCCACTAGTGAATATCTCTATTTTAAATAGAGGAATGAAAATTACAGATTTACAAAAATAAATAAACCAAAATTGCAACATTCCTTGAGAGATTAATAAAAATAAGGAGATGGTGACTAGGAATGGGAGAGTTAAGATTGTCAACATTCCTTCAGAGATTAATTCAGTAGTTCATGTTATTGCTAGTTGTGGTGCAAGAAACTCAGGTATTAATTTAACATGAAGAAGTCCTTTAGATTTTGCTTTACAAGTTGTGGGAGAGGACTTCAGTTCCATGTGTAATTTCCTTTTCGAAAGAGAAAGTGGTGTAGAGATAAAATAGTCCAAATTTTGTGTGCACATGGGTTTTCCCCTTTATTAATAGTATATATTATTTTAAAATGAGTCGGGATCCAATGATACATGTATAAGTATAAGTTTAAAGATTTACGCAAAATCAATAACTTTTTGCATACTACAAAATTAATTGATCCAATTGTTAAATTATGTAATATTATACTTAAAATTATATATATTAAATTTCACATAATTTAAAATTTTCTAGATATTTATCTAAAAGTGGATGTTTACATATATTTTAAATCACATTATACTTTAAAATAAAGTAATGTGATGAACTATTAAATAATTTTAGAATAATGTGAAATTTAATATATATGACAATGTGATGAACTACTAAATTTTTTTTATAATAATGTGAAATTTAATATATATTATTTTAAGTATAATATCACGTAGTTTAATATTTGGATCGATTAAACATACAAGATACAAAACTTTATTGGAGATATAAAATTTTGTATAAATTTTTAGACTTACATCTACCGTTAATGAATCCTAACCCTTTTAAAATTCATATTTATAATGTTCTTAATTTAATTAATAAAATATTTATTTGCTTGTATAAAAATTATTAAACTTTCTGAAAATTCTATGAGAATAAATATTTTCATTTAAGCTTTAAACTGTTGGAGTTCAAGTGTGAAGTGAAGTCTCACATTGGTTAGAGTTGGGCATGTTGAGTAATATATAAGTGAGAAAGACTCACCTACCTAATGCCTTAAGGTTTTAGGTTATGTTGTGGTGTCAAGCTCACTTGTATGACTTACTCACTACCCATTGTGTGGAATGCTCCCCGGCGTTAAAAACTCCCCAACATAAACATGTCATAAACCTTTAACAATAACTTTCATCGATTAAAATGTATTATCAAGAAAAAATGATTAAAAGAGATACGACGAGTGAAATTTACATTGTTTTTTTACATCCAAATGAAACTGATTTTTTTTTTTAGTTTAGTCTAACTTTTTTGTAAATAATGTACAATATATCATGAATAAAAAAAGATGTACAATCTTGTGAGATGAAAAACTACTGCCTTGTTTTGTAAAAGAACATGCGAAGCTCAACTTAATAAAAAGATATGTTAAATCAATTTGATGATCCGATTCAACTTATCTTAATTTAAGGCTATTTGGATTAAGAGAAGAGTTATGATAAAAAAAAAATTGATCAATCATCAAAATTTAAAGATAGGTTATAATCAAAATATGACTTGATTCAATTTCTCTTTATATTTTTGGAATGCATTTCATTTTATGAAATGAACTTGGTTTAGGAAGATAAATCTGCTATCAACATTTTTTTTTACTATTTTAAAAGAGACATTCTCTTAACAGAGGGGAGAGTAGAAAACACAAAAAAAGAAAAACAAAGAGAAAAACTCTCAAACCATATGATAGCATTCTAACAAAACCTCTATCTAAAGCTGCAAAATGTTGGTATTATATGTCTACAAAGTGCAATGCTTAAAGATAACAACAAATAAAAATGCATCTTTACATCACTACTCAACCTTTTCTTTTCCTTCTTCTTTTCATTGATCTTTCTTTTGTTTTAAGGGACACTAAAACAGTCTTGATTTCTATTTAATTATTATGGACTTTCTTTTTATTAATTGTGATTGCTAAAAACAATTATCATAGACAATTACATGTTAAAGATAGCGAATTTGTCTGTGTAAAGAAATTGGACTTTGAAACATGACAATCTAATTAAGAATCCGTCAAAAAATAACATATGAACAAACATAATAATTGTTCTTACACATCAGAAAAATTTAGTATTTTATCTTATTTTATTTAATGTTTAAGATTTTGATATAAGATTATACACATTTTTTTAGTAACGAAACTTAAACACATTAATATGTCTCATTTCATTGTTTTTTTACATATAATTTCTCAATATATTCCTAAACTTTTTGGATTTTCACTAATAAAAATAAGTATTGAAAATAAAAAATACATTAATTTAAGAATGCATTTATAATGACAACCTAGTTAAGAATTCGTAAAAAAAATGAACATATGAACAAACATAATAATTGTTCCTACATACCAGAAAAATTTAGTATTTTATCTTATTTTACTTGATGTTTAAGATTTTGAAACAAGACTTAAACACTTTTTTTTTTTTGGTAATGAGACTTAAACACATTAATATGTCTCATTTCATTTTTTTATATATATAATTTCTCAATATATTCCCAAATTTTTTGGATTTTCACTAGTAAAAATAAGTATTGAAAAATCAAAAATACATTAATTTAAGAATGCATTTATAATGATTATGGATAAATAAGAAAAAAATTTAATGTTACATTGATATTGTAAAACGACAATCAAGTTGAGATGTTGTATTAAGTTGGAAGAATTATATTTTTAAGTTGTCAAGTTAGGTGTTGTTTAAGTTATTATATTACTATGTTGTCATGTTGTATTGATGTTTAAGTTGCGAATTATTGATAAGCTATGTTGTTTATATGCTGAGTTGTATGTTGATAAAATTGTTAAGTTGTAAATTCATGTGTATGTTGTGATACGTTGTTGAATTAGGCTTTGAATCGCAATTGTGTTGGTTGATGTTATGTTGTTTTTTTTCATAAGTTTACCTTTGTTTTCCATGTAATTGAATTGTAATGATCATACTTGGTATAAGAGCAAATCATGATTAGGTTAGGAAGTATGCTTGGTGGCTAGTCATGCTGAAGATGATTTTTGTGTGTCTGTTGTGCTATTCTAATATAGCAATTGTGTGGAGGCACTTGAGTGGTGCTAAGACTTGTGAGTTTAGTATTTTATGCTAAATGTATATCTGTATATATTTATAGGGTTTAATTATAACCCTATAAGAAAATTTGTTTTAAAGTCAAAATTTGTATGAAATATTTTATGTTTTTCACACCTTGTACATATATTAAATGGATGTTCAGATGTTGTCATATATTAATCTTAAAAGTGAATTCTTTTAATTTTTTGTTGCGTTATTACTGTATTATAGTAAATGTAAAGGCCTCTATTAAGTCTTTACAATATTTATTTATATATTTTATTTTTTATAAAATTTAGTATATATAATAAATATTTAACATGTATATTATACGTATTAAAATATTAGTTAATGATTAAAATACGTTTATTATTAAAATAGTCTGCTAAAATATATAAAAGCAAGTGCTAAATATGTTCTTTTTATCATATTTCTGTTTTTCATAAAGACGAATATCAAAACGTTTTAAATTTTAAAGACATCAATTTATTGATCAAAATCTTTTATTCAAAAATAACATTGAAGGTTAATTTACTCAATAAAAAATACCAAATACAAAATGAAAAGGTGCAATTGAAAAAACCGTCACTTACAAAAACATTCAGGAATAAAAAACATTGCAATTCCCGTTATAAATCATCTTCAAAAGGAAAAAAAAAAAAAATCTGTTTAATAGTAATCTCATCGAATCTGTGGTCCTTATCTAAAATACTATCACTGATTGCCTGCATGTCATAAATCATGTGCTGCTTCTGAGTATAAATAACCGGTGAGTATCGGGTCCCATACACGACCAACTTGCACCACAATCAAGATTACTCGACTGAACGTGTCAATATTTCTCAAATCTGTATCCTTTCTAAGTCATATGTAGTATGATTTAAAAATATACAGATCTCACATTAACTAATAATATAATCAAAATATTACATATAAAAACTTTCATCTAGAAATACCTTTTGAGTCTTACTTGAATTTGAACCAAAATTAAATTGCATAATATTAAAGTTTATTCTGGTGTCTGTCTTTTTTTATTTTTTATTTTTTTTTTACAGATATGTAATGGTTGTTGTTGGTTTGACCACTTGTCTGTTGGTGGATACATTATCTCAATTCTTCACAATCTTTCTTTTCCTAAAGTCAGCAAGAATTTTTCTCCTTCCCCCTCCTTTTTGTTGCTGATCTCGGAAAGTTCATGTTTCTATTTGGGAAGTAACATAGCAAGTGGTTTTTGAATATGCTTAACCAGCTTCCTTTTAATTTCCGTGTAAACTACCATAACTGTAGGCACAAAACTACCACTAACACTTTCCTTAGTTTATACAATCTGATGAGTAATCAAATGTTGAAAAATGAAACCAATAATAATTTCACCTACCGACACGACCCCCTAAGAATTAAAAAAATTAAAAAACAAAATTGCAATGAATTATTGCACATAATGAGAAGGCAAGAAGAACCTCTGCCTCTTACTTCTAGTGGGACAGTTTGTTGCCACAGATAACGAAGCAATTTTGTTCACTGCTGATTTAAGGGATTGTTTGAGGGTGCTAAGGCAAACACTATTACCCTCTTCACTATCCTTTGAGCAAATAACCAATATGCTTTTGATTCTGCCACCAACACTGGCTATGTCAGCCTTAACTGCTGTGAGTCTCAAGCCTTTAAGGACTTGGATGATCTCAGGGAACAGTTCTGGTCGATCATCGCAGCAAACAGAAGCTTTGATAATGATGTTTTCCTTCAATATGTTTACTTTGTTGTAGCTTTCATCTTGAGCTTGGTGGTAATCAATTGTTACTTCATCGGTTTCAGTTGGAACAGTAATGGCTTTGCTCACATCCATGGCTTTTCTCTTTAGATCTTTCACATGGTCTACCACACTCCCTAGTAATGCTGCCTTGTCCATCTGCAATCACACAAATTTTAGTTTCTTTCTCTTTTAAAGATAGAGACGTTAGTGGAATTGAAACCTATATAACCCCATCAAACAACCTAGTAAAACTATTCATGCTTCTTTTGTTTTTTTAGTTCCTATTGCTATCCTCCTTCATATCCTCTTTAAAAGCATAATCGAACACTAAATATAGACACCACTTTTAACGAGAATCAAGACTTTGTTTCAATGCAATATGCGGTACCTAGCTAGGCACAACCCCCTTATGGCTGATCATGCTATAATTCTTAGTTTTTTTTAATCTGATAAAAGGAGAAATTATTAAGTAATCAAATTTTTTTAAGTATATATGATTCTAATCGATCTCTACATAATATGCATTTAATTTTTTTAATTTAAAAAAAAATAATCACCCTCAATTATATGCCATCTCATCAAGATCATGTTTTTCAGGACCACCAACTAAATTAGTGGAAATGAAATCTCTGTCAACTTTATCACTCAACCTAGAAAAGCTATTCAAGCAAGCTACTATATTTCTTTTAGTTTCTTTCTATACTAAAGATGGGGAAGTTAGTGGAATTGAAATCTACAGACCTATCATACAACCTAGTAAAGCTATTCATGCTATAATTGAAAGTGACCATGTCATATTCCAAAGAAAAAAGAGACACTGAAATGCCACAAATTTACAGTGGATCGAATCTGATTTAATCTACATGACCTATCATAGAGTAGGTAATTCACTAATTCCACTTTCTTCTTGTCTAAAACAGTATCCAAGGTTTAAAATATGGGAGTGAGTAACTAACTGTGTCACTTAATAAAAGAGACACATGATGATTCTTATTTTGTACTTTCTTTTTTTTCTTTCTTTTACCTTATCAGACTTGGGAATGAGTTTTCTGAGAGTTGCAAGCTGTGCATTGATCCTGTCCCTGCGCCTCTTCTCTGCTTGGCTGTGGCTCTTGGAAGCACTTGCAGCTCTATCTTCAATAGGTGTAGGCCAAGAAGGAAACTCACCAAATTGAAGAGTGGCAGGGTCAGAAGCTATTTGTGTTGGCACTGAAAAAGGAGATAATTGATCACTGTTTGGTGCAGAGTTGCATTGAGCCACGTTGGTGGCAAGAGGCCAGCCAGTATAGTAGTAACTTTCCATAAGCACAATACAAAGCATTCTAATGCTTGTGCCTCCTCACTTTGTGACCCTTTTATTTCGCATTCATTGCCACTGTTTGCTTAATGTTCTTATCTTTATGGTGATTGGTGTGATATGCAATGACCTTTAATGGGGTCAGATGAAAATCATTTTTGGCTGTATCCTCCTGTCACTTCACCAAGAAATTTTTTTCCTCCCTAATAAATCACACTAGACTTCGTAAAGAATCTGAAGTTTGAGAAGGGGAAAAAGGAAGAGCCAAATTAAAAAGCAAGAGGGTGGCATGGCCCAACAAACAGGCTTATCTTAAATGAGTATCCGTGCTGACTAAGAATTTGAACCAGAAATGAAATAGTGCCTTGCAATTGGACCTGGTAGACACTGTTGGAACTTTGGAATCGCTTGACCTAGTAACAGTATTTGATGTAGTGGATGCAAGAACAGTATCTTATTCTTCCATATGTATATAGCCATAAAGTTTTTTGTTTGCTCTATGGTAATTATAACTATTTGGGCTCTCCATGTGGATTCCTGTCTAGATCCTACTATAACTTATCTTAATTTATTTTTTTTATTGGTAAAAATTATCATGTGACAACAAAATTCAGATTTAAGATTTTGTGAATATTATTTTAAGTTTTTACTACTAAATTGACTCTAATAGTTCAGTTATCTTATCTTAATGTTTATCTTCACAAGATTACATACTTTTGCAGTTAAAATTAAAAATATTCCTATGCTTAACCTAAGACATGTGTTACAAATGAAATGCTCAACCAACCTTGATCACTAGTTTAATTATTACAAGAGTGATGCATTCAAGATAAGATATGCTTTGTTAAGTACTTCGACGCTGAGTTTCAATTTGGTTAAGTTTCAAAATATGATTTGCTGTACTATTATATACGGTCCCAACCAAGGTTTTTAGTCTTTGCCATGATGAGGAAGATGAAAAAGGTGACTGAAAGAGCACGATTGTACACAGAAAAGAACGCGGGATTTTCTCGTACTATTAGACAAATGCATGATGTAACCAACAGTGATAAACGGATTGTCCATTAAGTTTATGACAATTTGTGGACCAATTTTACCAGAGTGGACTTGTCCAATTTTGAATCTCTAGGATGAAAAAAATGGATTGTGATTGTAATTTTCATCAAATGTCAAGATTTTTGGAGTATCTAAGATCACAATGCAATGTGACTACAACTTTAATGCATGTTTGAATATTAATTTAAAATTATATTTGACGGTATTTTATACAACGTTCTAATGTGAAAAAAGTAAAATTCTATAGGTGTAGGTTTTTTTTTTAAACTCTAATTCCCAAACACACCCTATATCACATTGACCGTATTTGTCTACAATTTTTCGAAATATCTGAGGAATGTGATGAACTTGCAATTTAAAACTTTCGGTGCATGCAATTTTACTGGTGAGCTCTTCTTACATGTATCTTGAAGAAAAGTGGAACTTCAAAGCAGGCCACTCAGTAAAAGCAGCTTATTTTGTACACTTTAATGGCTCTCTGATTGAAAAGCTAACTTAGTCTGTCTCCAGCACAAGCTAGCAAACAAAGGAAGCTTCAATTACAATCACCAGAGGGTCCCATTTTCCTTCACAATTGTAACACATAATAAAGCACCTTAAAGGGTGATACGACTACTGATCAACCACTCACTTTGTTAGCCTCTATTATCTCTCATACAAATTGTGTGGTTTCTTGTGATTCCGTATTTTTTTTCTCCCATCTCTTTCATTGTTTCCTTCTTTTTTTCCCTCACCCCATCCTATTTTATCTTATCGAAATTTCAGGCTTTTGGGTCCCATAATCTCAAAACATATCTACAATATAACATATTTTTTCACTAAAGATATCCTTATCTGGTAATTGGATTCTAATTTTTTTTTTCTTCCAACAAAATCATCATCGTATAATACACATGGCTTAAGAATCAAATATTTATCAACATGTTTAAGGAACTTATCAATCTACCGTATCTATAATATTTATCTATATTATATATCATGGGCATAGCGAAGGCGTCACGATGAAAATGTGGCAAATGAAAACGATCAAAGTGAGACAGCACGTCTCTGTATTTGTCAAGTAATGGAATGATAAGAAATAAGGCTAATTAAGGTTGGAGGCCTATGCGATCTTCCTTGTCCCTTTGCTCATAGCTAGAAAGGTGAAATAATAAAAAGATAAGGTGCAATGCACCATAGATCCGTAATAAATGCTTTAGTGGAGAGTAATTAATTATTAGTATACGGCAAAAATGGGCACGTAAATGGGGAAGGCAGACACATGATACATCAGGTGCAGTTGAAAAAGATGGAAATAATTATGTGAATGTAAATGAGAAGTAAAATTCATTTGATTCTACTTTATCCTAAAATTCGATATATATCATTCAAGTTAGTTTTTTTGTACTGTAACTTTTTCTCCTTTTTTAGTCTTGTACAGTATTATGTTGGATAATTTTAAGTGAATGAGATTGACGTGAGAGAGAAGAGAAAATTTTCAAAGAAAGGGAAGCAAAAGAAGGATATGCAGGGGAGTTGCTTTTTCTTTGTTTCAAGATGTTAAGTAATGTTTGAAAGGTGAATACGTTTATATATATATATATATATATATCGTACATTCTTTAATAGCATTTTATTGATTGAATGTTGTTGGGAATTTTAAAATTGTACGGATTGTTGTGGGAATGGTAGATAAGTCGATGCCTATGACTTTAATAGTTGCTGAATAAATACATAAATATACCAACAAACATTAATTTTCGTTAGGAATGGTAAACTTAGTAAAGGGTTTAGTTATAAAGTTAATTACCTATATTCTGCTTGTGTAAAAAAAATTTATACTGACAACCAATTATATTTTTTAATTTTGTCATATCACTATAAATATATTTACTTTTAACAATGACATAACACAATTAAAAGATATAATTGATTGTCAGAGAAATTTTTTTACACTGACAATATATAGGTGATTAACTCTTAATTATATCCATGCAACCTATTTGTTGTTCAGATATGCATATTTCATTAACGTTGCCGAGTGTTAGTGTTGCAAAATAATTCAAATTTTTAAGATCAAATATTTAAAATATTGTTTAGATACAAAAATATATTATTATTTTATTAAGATGTTATTTAAAATTGAAAATTTTATATTTATTTTAAATATTTGTTTCATCTTTTAATATTAGAATACAAAATCAATAAATATAAAATTTTAAGATTAGGAGTATAATCAAGTCTAGAGAAAAGGTTATCACCTTAAGAGATATGAGAAATCATGAGATGTTGTGGATAAACATAAAGAACTAAATTACGTTAAATAAATTTAAACTAATGAATATTCATTGAGATGTTATCGTGATGTAGGCATAACTTTGTGTGATTTTATATATTTTTTTATGATATTTTTTGTGTATTCTCTCATTTTTATACATAAAGAAAAGAACAGTTTTTTTTTTGTAATTCCTAACATTACTATAATAAACAAACACTATTACATGCAAATGATATTCATGTTCATCAAGAATAATAGAACAAGACAATGTTTATACCAATCACGTTAGTAATTGTTGGAAAATAGTCATATGAAAATGTTAACCACATTGATTGTTGCATAAAAATAATAGTTTAAGAAATATAGTCATTTCTTGTAAAAAAAAAATAATAAATAATATTTTTTCCTTCCACAAGTATTATAACTTACTAATTTAGAAATTAATCTCATTCACAATGTTGTGATTATCACCGATCCAAAAGATTTTCATACACAACAATGATCGATAATAAATTTTTGTTAAATGATTTTTACAACAAACAACAAATTAATAAGGAGTGTTAGCAACATATCATCTAACACAATCCTCTTAGTATATTTATTTTTATTAGTTAAAATCATTAAAAAATATACGATCATGAGAAAAAATCATTAAATATAGATTGTGTATAACCTAACAATTAGAAACACTATGAACCTATATGATTGTGTATAATCTTAATTGTTTCAAAAACATTACATTATGACCCTATAAGGGAGGTTAATGGATGAGCTAGGAAAATCTGTATGTACAAAGGCAAAGAGTACACATCGGAGTGGCAAGCAAATACCTCAAGACAATACACACTGAAATCAACAAATCAAGTGATCATGGAACAACACAAACCACAATGAAAAGAGTTCTTCAAAAATGTGGGTTAAGGGAGTCCCTTGAAAGCTTTAAGGTTTACACGAAAACTTGCTTTGGATATATAGGAGTTCAACATTATAAAATTTAGCGCATCAAAATGTGATAGGGCCAAATGAAATGATATGCAAGGTATGTGGTAAAAAAAAATAGAGATAGTTAAACATTTATTCTGAGTGCCAAATAACTAGCTAATTTGGAAATAAATTATGCGATGGTGGAGGGGAGAGTTATATCTCTCCTAACATAGAGAGACACAAAGGCATTTCCTACAATTTAGGGACTTCATGGATTGTGTATAAAGAAAAACAAAATTAAGCTGGGTTTATATATGGTTAACCAGAATTTGGGCAATCTAGAAGGAGGAAAACACAAGAATTTTTTTAGATGTAGGATTTTAATCATATAATGAAAATAATTAAACTTAATTCATAGCATTAGGGTTAGGAAGCAGAGATTGAGTTCCATTATTTATTTAACGATTGGGTTTTATACTCAGATGAATGTCTCAGAGTAGTGCAGATGAGCAAAGCCGGATAAGAGACATGCGAAGCGCAACTACCAAAGTGGGTGGAAAGGCCTTAGCATGTCAAGGACATTGAGAGCCATAAAGTTAAATGACCATGACAGATGAATGTGAGAGAACATTAATAAAAATCCATAAAAAGTGCATTTTGTGACTAACATCGTGTATAGGTGAATTGGATATTGGATATTGTACAGGTATCATTTCTAGACTGTGATAGACATTGGCTACGTGAATTGGATATTGTGTAGCTATTATTTCTAGACCGTGATAAGCAGAGTTTTCTAGCCTCACTGATTTGAATTTCACTCAAATTGACACAACTCAACTTACTGCATGTTGCCTTTTGTAGGCAATCGTAGACTTAATAAAATATTATTAAAATCTATGCTTAACATCTTGACGGTGGCAAGTTCCCAGGAGCGGTGTTGCCAATTAGGCATGGCAATCTAACCCGTCCCCGTGGGTATCCGCCCGAACCCGCCCCGATTTGGACGGGGAAAACCCGTGTTTATCGGGTTC